GTGTCACCCAGTCCACAACCAAAAGACAAGCACAGTTTCTTCACGTGTCTCTAGGCTCCATGCGCCTCCTCCAGGTCTCCTGGCTCCATCCTGCTTCCTTCCTTCCTCAGTCTCTTCTGCAGCTTCTCCTCTTCCTGCTCAGCTCCACCCTCCCTTGGGTGGGGCAGGGAACCTCCCCCTTTCCTGGGGACCACCCTGTTACAATATTATAAACCAATATTTACCTCAATTAAAAAATTACATATGTAATTGCTTTTTTGTGTCTGTAATTGGTTAAATATTCTTATTTGGCAGTTAACAATATTCATGATGTTTTTGGACATGAGAGTTCTTAATTTGCAGGCAGTTAAGTGTACTGATACTTGTGATTCCTCCATAGAAAGTAGTTATATAGATTAGATTATTACTCATTTATGTTCTTTAAAACTCTCTCCTTTCCCTGTGATCAACCAACCTGCTTCACCAGAAAGTCCTGAAGATAGATTAAGGAGTTTCTTTTATTTGTCTGAATGGGTTGTTAGTATCAAAGTGGGAACACATATTTTTTAATATTTCTGGCACTCTGAAAGCATGCATCATAGAAAACTCCTCTTCCCCAAAAAAGAGGAAACAAAGAAAGCATAGATGCACATGGGTTTTGGTCCTGGGAAATTTGATTTGGTGTCATCAACACACATACCCTCTTCTTGACACTGTAATTAATTTTAGCTGTTTCTCAGAATAAGAATTCAAAGACAAAAATTACTTTTGAAGTCTTACATTTGAAATTTAAACCCTCAAACAAAGTATTTCCAATCAAATACATCTGCCTTCTGTGTTAAATCACTATAGACTAGTCTGTTTACAAATATTGCAAAATCTGGCAACAAAGCCTCTTGATGCCAAAATTAAGGCTCCTTTCATTTTGCCAATGCTATTTGCTGGTAATTCTTCTCACAAAAGCTTTGAGATAAACCACTTTTTCTCATTCTACTAATTTGCATCAACATAATTGGGAGGGTAATATTCTATTTTAAAAGAAGTATAAACATATTTTGGGAAGATAGTTCAGAGCTTTTCCATCCACTCTAAAATCTAAGCCTAACATTATTTACATGTAATTTTCTGTGATTTATTAATTAATTATCAATTAAAGAAGCTATGATGTTGAAAAGGGTAGATTTGTTATTGGTTACCCAACTGGTTTTTAACTGTCAGGAAAAGAAAACCTACTATAAATAAGACACAGGAAACCATGGTAACCGATAGATATACTTTTCACAACAAATAAAAGTTTCTCAAAAACAACCACTGTTCTTTAATGTTTGACTAATTGTTGCAAGCAATTTCATTACATTTTGAATAAATGTCCAAGTAACTGTAGGTCTGCTAGGCAGCCTATTTGGCCGCCATTTTGTCACCTAAACAAGGTCAAAGTGGCCCGGCCATTTAGGAACAGGAGCCCAACCCTTAAGCCCTTCAAATCAAACAAGAGCACAAAGCTGGATCACACTGGGAAGGTTATGCATCACAAGGTATGTCCAGAATGCCCAGGGGGCTGAGGACTGATGCATAACTTGTGCATCAGGAGGTATGTCCGGAAAGCCCAGGGAGCTGGGGAACAATGCATAACACATACTCCCGACTTCATGCATCACGAGGTATGACCGGGAATGCCTGGGGGGCTGAGGACCAATGTATGACAAGGGACCCCAGAAGCTGATCAGTGGAGCATCTTGTTGATAAGATTAGAACCATGGCTGGGGATTAGGGTGTATCATCAAGTAGATTAGAAGTGCCTGGAGGGCAGACTCACAATCCCTAATCTTCTACACCCTTCCCCTTTCTTTAATCTCCTTAATCTCCTTACAACCAATTACATGTGTAAATAAAAGGGCCAAGATCTTGCTCTTCAGCAGCATCCTGCATTGTGCAGCCTGCTCCATGACTCCCATTTATCAGTGTGGTGTCCGATGCAATAGTAACTATGGTTCTGGAAACCTTAACTTTAGCTATATTGACCTAGGTTACATTAACTTTTATTTTCTTTATGCTGCAACTCTTTTTGATCCAATTTTAAGCTGGTTTATGATGCAAGTAACTTATCAACAAATAGTTAATAATCCAGAAGTTACATGATGATTTTTGGCATGTTATGGGATGTTGAACAATTACTACTTTAAAATAACTGCAATGGAAATCAACAAGGTTTTCCAAATATAGTGAACTGACACTTTTCTAGCTGCTTTTTTTTTTTTTAACAGTTTAATTACTATTTTTCAGTTTACTATAAAAGAATGTGATAAAGGATACAGAGGAACATCCATATGGAAGAGATGCAAAGGCCAAGACATTTGCATATTGGTATATAACACAATATATATTTTTTTTAATATCATATAGTTTATTTAGTTTTTAAGAATTTTTCATTTTTTTTTTAATCTTAAATTTTATTTTTATATTCCCCCATACAATTGCAAACGCCCCATTCTGACCCCAATCCTTCCCCTCCCGCCCCCCACCCCCCAAAAAGTGTCTCTGGTTCATAGTTTTTTGTTGATTTTGATTTTCACTTTCTTATATTCATTTTCCTGGTCCCTTATTTAAGTTTTCTAGATTTCTAGCTGCTTTTCATACAAGGCTAGGAGATATTTCACATATTCTCTAGACCAGTTTTGATAATAAGAAACTGAATTGAGGGCATCACTAGTGGCACAGGGGTTAAGTCTCAGCGCTATTAAACTATAACCAGCCACTGCAGCATGAGTTCGATCCCTGGCCAAGAAGCTAACCCACATGGTGCAACAGACCTCTCCTGTCTCGCCCGCCTGCTGCTCCCCTCAGCAGTGTATTTCAATAGATCCACCTGTTCTGCTCCCCAGTCTGTCTCTGGTGAATCCTCTAATCCCCTGTACTGCTGGCCTATACCCCAGTTCTTATATGTATAAATAAGTAAATAAATCTTTAGGAAAAAAAAAGAAACTGAATTGAATAAAAATTATTTCCTGTAATAAAATTTATTGAGTACCATTATATGCCTGAGAGTTTTCAATCAATTGGCATTGACTTCTCAGGTATATTGTTATCCTGATTTTATGCATAAGAAAACTGAGATTTCGCCATTGAGTAACATGCTCAAAGTCAGCCTGAAGAGAAAAAGGCAATACTGAGACTTAACCTAATCTTTCTGAGTTCAGGACCCAAGCTCATGACTTCTTTGTGATAAATACACTTCAACCCATCCTAGGTACCAGACTATTAATAAGTCTGTTTTGTCTATTCTTCCTAAGCTTTATTTAGCCAGCATAGTGTTCAAAGCACCTGGGGAATTGGATCCCACAAAAAGATTTCAGCAGTGACCCAATTAGCCAAGAATACCTATTTTAGATAACTAAGATTATTTGAAGGTCCCTTATTTTTGAATGTTTCTCTTCCTGAATAAGTCACCACTTTTTGCATAGATCTTTTCTGTGTGGGAATAGAGTTCAAGGTGGCCTGGAGTGGCTTTTAATAGGATCTTCTTTTTCATGATCTAGGGAGTGTCAACATCTGACAAATTTATAGCCATTCTTTAAGTAAACAGTGAACTAGAATTCCAATTACTTAGTGTACATCAGAGGCTTTTTGATGCTTATTTCTCCCTTGCAATGAAAATGTTACCAATTTCCTCACTGTGCTAATATACTCTATTATATAAGTTGGTAGCCTTTAGGAAGGCTCATTGGGGACATGGAATTTCTCTGCACTATTTTTTTTTTAAAGATTTTATTTATTTTATACAAGAACTGGGGTACAGGTCAGAAGCGCGGGAGGGTGAGAGAATTCACCAGAGCCAGAGCGGGGAGCAGAACAGGCAGATGGACCAAAGACACTGCTGAGGGGAGCAGTGCGAGAGGCAGGAGAGGTCTGCCACGCCATGTGGGATTCTCCCTGGTCGGCGGGGAATCCAACCGGCGCTGCAGAGGCTGCAGACAGCTTCACAGTGCGGCGCTCAACCTCTGCGCCACGGGGGAGGCCCTCTGCACTATTTTTGCACCTCTCATGATTCTATAACTATTTCAAAATTAAAGAGTTTTAAACTATTGTCAAATTTCCACCTTTCCAGGGAAATGAACATTTGATTTTTTTGCAGCTAATAGCTTTTCTCCAGCCCAGGTTCCTCTCAGGAAATTGGCCATCCTTTTGAAGAAGCACTGATGTGTGAGATGGGCAAAATTTGTTATCAGACAAAGAACAAAGGACCATGCCCATAAACCTGCGTTGGTTGTCCACCACATCCACTCCTCCAGGAATCTAGCTAGGACCAGGCTGCCTCTGAAAAGCTTTATTAGAAATAAATCAGTTTATTGAGAAAAAAATCCCAACTACCTCTAGTGGCACTAATCTTCCTGTATAAGATTAACTCACCAGGTGACATTATGAGCCTGAGACAAAGTCCTTCAGTAGGAGTGATGGAATTAGCCATGCTCCTTGTCTGGCTGCTGCCTCTGCATATTTACTGATACATATCAATGACAAATCCTGACAAGGACAGATGAATGCTTGGTTCCAGGAAAGAATGTGCAATAGAGAGAAAAACAAAAAAAGCTTGTACAAATGAGCAAAACCATTCCAGAGCAGACTCCAAGAACTTGTATGTCCCTTATCATCAGGGGGACTACACATGTGATCATCCAGGAAATGTACTCTTTGCAAATAGCCTTGAGCAACTAGAAATAGTCCCCAAAATATGACACTGATTTGAAGGACAGGTAGAGTTTAAAGGAAAAATTTTAATGATTGGTTCTGAAGGCACCTGCCTGAAATGCAATCTTTGTGGCTTTGTTTGTCTTTGTTTTTCTAAAGATGAGGAAAACAAAGCGTTAATCACTTCACTTAGTTAATGAGGCTAATCCTGGAAGTTCCTGCAACTCATTTTGGCCCATACTGACCAGAAATGCAGTACTAAATAAATGAGGTTTGTCCCCGTTGATATTCAGAGGAAACCTATTCAACATGAGATTAAGAAAAAGTTTGCCACTTTGAAAAGGTAGAGCCATACACTCAGCATGAAATCAGAGATGGAAGAAGATCTGCTAACAGAATTTGGGAAGACAAATGGCGGGGCAGGGAATACAAGGAACTCTCGAATATGAAATGAGCCATTTCACAGATGACCCCAAAATTGACCGTTCATCTTCTGCCATCAAATTATGAAAGCCCTGATGGCATCTCTGGAAATAAATTGCTAAATAAGTTTAAGCTTTTTGGTTCATAGAATTGGTGAATCAAAGGGGCAAAAGATTTATCTCATGCCTCTAAAGATCATTTATAATGTGGCTAAGTGACCCTGGATAAAACCACAATAAAGGTGATTCATGCAGGAAACCCATTTTGTTGAGGCAGAAATGAAAATTCACATTAAATCACAGTCTATTATTCTATGCTCAGAGAATTAGAGCGAGCCAAGCTCAGTGGATTTCCAGACATTCTGAAGGTTGAATGCAATTGTTTTCATAAAAGAGAGAAATGAGACTTCTTTAAAGTGAGGATGTAGCCTCCCTCTCTGAGAGCAGGGAGGCCCCCCTGACCTAATGACCTGTCCAGTGGCCCTGCCAAGCAGGCATCCAGGACTATATTCCCGGACAGCAGCCAGCTTGGGGATCTATTCAATTACTGCAAGTTCCATGCCAGGAGGTTTTCATCAGCTCCACTATTTATCAAGACAATTGGACCTAGTACAAAAACCCAACTTTGCAAATTGCCATTACAGGGGCTGTCTATGTGACTGAGTCAGCGATGTCTGCCTCCTAGCATTTGCTCTCAACTGTAAAGTTACCATATTTTCTTCTGGCTGGGATCACCTGAAAAACTTGTTGTCTCCTCTCCTTCACCTTCCATTCTTGTCTCTAAAGATCTGTTAAGGAATGAATTAAATACAATAGCAGGATCATTGAGCAATCAAACACTGGACCCATTATTTTGCAGGTGACCTAATTTTTGTGACATTAAATGCTTCTCAGCTTCTCTGCCATCCTTCATTTGGCATTATCTTCCTATATTTCTTCCTTCTCATATGTCAGTTCTCTCTCTGGAGCATTGGTAATGACCAATGTAATACTTTCTAAGCTCAAATGTTCACTTTCCAGTGAGAAATTGACTGATGTTGCAGCAAAAGGAATCCAATTTCTCTGTAAATTAACCAAAAGTGTAGACTCTTGTTAGTACAACTAATTTTTTTTCCTTCTCATTGGTTCTTTTCTTTGTTCATACAGTAATGTTGTAGCTTAAAATATAATTATTCAAACATAAAGAATAATCTCATGTAAACTGGTTGACAGTCAGGAAGTCTGAAATAATGACCATGCAAAACTCCATACAGACCAGTGTAGAACTTGCCATAAATCATTTGTTCTCATCTGTAGTCTTTGCTGAAAGCTGACAATGTTCATTGTAAGACTTTGTAAAGGATAGACTAAACAGCATGTCCAGAACTGTGATAAAGGTAAGAATTCCACCCACAATGGATTTGCCAAAAACAAGCACACCAAAATAAAACCCCTTCCCTGGAATTAAGTTAAGTCTGTTATCTTGTTACACTCTTATCACAAGTGCTTATATCCTTGGAGGTAACTGTAAGCTATCTTGTCTATTGACAAAACACTTGAAAATTGGATTTATATGAGAATCTTTAGTTTTCTTAAAAAAATAGTTCATGTCTTTTCACATGCCTCAAAGAGATGCACTACAAGCACCAGCAATAAAAGACTTATTTTATGGAATTTGGTGGATTAGAGAAAGAACACTAAATTTGTCTGGTCATACAAATCTTTTAAGCATGAACTAAAACATTTTGAATGCATCAATTAACCAGAGTGCCTATTGTATTTCTCCTACTAAGTTTTTCTTATCTCAACAGTTAATATTTTAGTTTGTTCCTCTTTCCGTGACTCAGGGAAAGGATATGCCTCTGGTAACAGGCTGCTGCTTATCAGACTATATGGAGAGAATTAATTTAATGAAGAGTTTCTATTTAGGAAGAAGCAGTAGGAGGACAGAGCAACAATTGGAACTTCTACCACACTGGCTGGTGTTTTACAAGCTAGAGAAGCAGCTGGAAATTTAGATGACAGTTTTGAAAGATGGATGATAAGGAAAAGGTCACTAAAATTGAAATGGTGGGTGGGAAAGTAGAGCAGACCAGGATAATGTGGCAAAACTGAATCATCTCATGCGTGTTAAAGCTTTTAAGGAACTTTTCTTTTCGCATCAAAGTTTGCTATTCTCCCTGGTGACTAACTGTCCCATGAATGGTATAGACTACTTGCCTTTTTTCTTGCGCCCAAATCAACTCTTAAAGCATTTTTTAAAGTTCAGATTATAGGATAAAGAATATTTCCATCGACCTGAGTCAGTTTGCAAATATGTGTCTTTTGCTTAAGCACATATTTTTATGTGAATGTTTGTTCCCAAACTACCTTAAAAATAATGTGTATATTTACAAAACTAACAGCCACTGTAGCTTGGAAAATTCCTTTGGCACAGATTTGAGTATTCAGACACAAATGCTCCTGACTTAAAAGCTAAACCAAATAAAACTTGACAGTAAAGCAAAATATTTTATAGGCAAAGTGACATTTTATAATAATGGAATAATAAATGTAAAAGGAAAATGAACTAAGCCTGAAATAGCATCTCAAATCTGTTGAATACCAAAGGAAGGTGAATCCCAATTAGTCTTTTCCTGTTTTTATTATACTAATAATTATGCCTATGATTGAAGCACTCTTACACTTTGAGAACTTCAGTTTTTCTAGTCATATTGTCATATATCTCCAATCACTTGTCTGTTAAGAGATCCATACTATGTAGTGTGGAAGCCTCAGTGGAATTCTAAAGTAAATAGATACAGAAAGTGATGGAAAAAATCAGAAGACTGCTTTATGAAGCTCTTCAATTTGGAACCAAGTCATCATCCAGATGAACACAATCCAACCCAAAACCCATATACAACTTGACATTAGATAAGTTTACAAACGAAATGAATAAACCTCAAGTCAGTTTACTTGTAATCTTCATCTTCCACCCCATGCACAACTCAACCAAAAGAGCTGATTTGGGTCAGTTTAGGAAATCAACAAGAGCCTATAAACCAACCTTCTATTCCACTGGACAACAATTATAAAGAGGGTTAAAAAATATTGTTCTTTCACTCTAGGAAAAGATGAATAGCCAAGGTTGTTGTAAACACAGGGTGTTAGGATGAAAGAGAACTAGGATTGGAGGGAGAGAAAAGCTAGTTTGTATCTTCCTTCCCTCAGTGCCAGGAAAAATGAGTCTGCCTATTGGCAAGTCCTGACCAGAGGCTGTTTGGGTTCACAATGGACATTGGGATGGGTAGAGTGTATCAGACCTCATTTTCCTCTCTCAGAAACAGATATTTTTACAAAAGGATGGCCAAAGGAAATAAACCAAGGCAAGAAGAAATTCACAGTCATCAAATCAGTAGATAAAACAGGGATTTAGCTAATGTACTAATTGTTAATTCATTTTTGACACATTTGTTGATGCTTATATTATCCAGTGTAAAATGTGAGGTGATAAAGGACAATGAGAATGATCTAATCAACTTATCTTTTGGATTTTCTCTTTCAATGGGTCTCGAGTAGGGTCTAGAAAAAAGAAGAAAATTCCTTAATCCCGAGATGATTCTAAGGTTAAGCAAGTTGGGAATCCACTGATCTGAATCAGTGACTCCCAATGGCTTTGTGATCTCCTAGGTAAGAGAGGGAACATCAGGAAGGAATTAAACTTGATATAGGGAACATTGATCATAACTCCAGTTTCTATTCATGAAGCACAGCAGGCGTCGTAGGGTGTATTGCAATGAAATAGACTCATAACTTTTTATTCAAACAATATGCTGTTGTTTAAAAGCTATGTGATCTTGAGCAAGTCATTAAACTCCCCAAAGGAATAATTACACCCAATTTCAGAGTTGTTTGATGTTCTATGTGAGATCATAACAAGACCTTCATCATTTTAGTTTCTGTCTCTCCTTCCTCAAACGTGGTGTACTCCCTTTTTTTAATGCCCTTTACTTCTAAGGATCTAATAAAAACTTGCTTTCATTTTCTAGAACCCAGTCTCAACCCACATTGTCCATGAAAGTTTTTCAACCTCACCTCCACCCCCACCACCAAGGTTCACTGACCTCCCTTCTCTGTACACCTTCAACCCTTATATTCAAGATCATATAATCTGAAACTCAATTGTCCTCAATTACTTCATGAATATTGCTTTAGTTTTCCTGACAGGGTTCTCCATGAGCACCTGGATGAGACACTGTTGTCATTCATGAAGATGCCAAAGAATTACTCACTGGCTAAGGAAAAGTATCTGTTGGGTGGACAAATGTTATAAAAGATATCTAAAGAGGGTGAGGAAATCCTCACTTTCTGTGGACATAATGTAGTAGAGACCAGCCAACATTGCAACTGCCTCTGGTGGGCATTAGTATTTTGAAATACTCATCAGAATGCCAGTCTCATTCTTCCCACACTCACTTATTTTGTTGGAAAAATGCAAAACCTGCATTTTTTCCATGAACCAGATCTCACTCTATGCACAGAGTGAATGCAGCGTCTGTGTTTAGCATCCCAATGTGATAATTATGCATTATGCTTACTCCATGGCCAAATCTTACATTTCTGTACCAAAACACAAAGGAATGACTAATGCTCCAGTGTATTATCTTGCTTACTTTTCCATTGTGATTTTTTTCTTATCCATATTGTCCCCATGCTGAAATATGCCTGTAACAATAACTGAGAAAACTGACATGTGAATATGATTTGAAAGGTAAGTGACAAGCTGAGGTGAATTGCAGGGACATCTGTGCCAGCAAACACATGAACACTGAGAAGTGGTAGCAGTCAGTCAGTGTGTGTGTGTGTGTGTGTGTGTGTGTGTGTGTGTGTGAAAGAGAGAGAGAGACTAACTGTATGCTTGTGGAGAAAGAAAAAAAATTATTAAGGAACAAAAGCTGGGTTATGTAAGCAGGAATGTTTGAAATGGTTAGTATAGCAAGAATGGAAACAAGGTATGAATATTCATAAGTAAAAGGGAAGCAGAATTCATTTGCAGTGAGGAAGCAGAGATAAAATTCTGAATATTGTTTGATCACAATTTTATCCAGGAAGCTTTCAATGTATAGATAATAATATATATCACAAAATCAACTAACCCCATTTTCTAAATTTTCCTCTTTTCAACACACTGTTTATTCATATTTCTATATATTAGTCAGCCAATTTTTCTCGCATTTCTGAAGGCCTAAATGTGAAAGAGGACCTCCCAGGTGGTACAAGGGGTTAAGCTGCACTATGAAGAAATCAAGAAATCCTCAGCCTCTGCAGCATGAGTTTGATCCCCAGCCAGCCAGGGAGCAACCCACATGGTGTAGCAGACCTCTCCTGTCTTGCCCGCTGCTCCCCTCAGCAGTGTATTTCAGTCAGTCTGCCTGTTCTGTTTCCTGATCTGTCTCTGGTGGATCCTCTCACCCCCCTACCCATCCCTGCATCTCTGGCCTGTACCCCAGTTCTTGTACACATAAATAAGTAATCTTTAAAAAAATGAAGCTGAAAGATGAAAAAATACCATAAAATAAAGACCAAAAATTACTTCAAATAGGTAAAAGACTTACAGTAAGAGTAAATCTATAAAATTCATACAAGAAAACATAAGGGTAAATCTTTGTGATCTAGGATTGGTCAATGAGCACTTAGATATGACACCAAAAGCATAAGCAAGTTAAGAAAACAATAGTTTCCCTTAAAAATGAAAACTATTTTTGAAAAGCATTGTCAAGACAGCCTGCAGAATAGGAGACAATATTTGCATATATATTTGATAAGGCTCTGTATCTAGAATAATATAAAGAATCATTGCAACTCAATAATAAAAACATAGCCTAATTTAACAATGAGCAAATTTCATTATTTTTTCAATATCTGTTGCAGTAACTTAGAGAATTGAACTACTTTTACTTTTTCTGCAAATAGCCACATCCCCAAAAATGAAACTAGACCATTATCTCATACCATATACAAAATTAACTCAAAACAGGTGAAACACTTGGATATAAGACTTGAAACCATAAAATATGCAGAAGAAAACATAAGCAAAGCACTCCACAACATTGGTTTCAGTGGCTTGGGGTTTCAACTACAACAGCAAGGGAAACCAAAGCAAAAATAAACAAAAGGACCATATCAAACTAAAATGCTTCTTCACAATGAAAGAAACTATTATTAAAATGAAAAGAAACTATATTGAATAGTTGAAAGTATTTGTACATCAGACATCCGACAAGCAGGTACTATTTAAACTATATAAGGAACTCATCAGCTTAACAATGAAACAAATAACCCAATCAAAAAATGGGCAGAAGAACTAAACAGACACTTCACCAAAAACAAAAACAAAAAACATAGGGATGACCAATAAATGAAGAAATGCTCACAATCACTTATCAGGGAAAAGCAAATCAAAAACATAATGAAATACCACATCACTCCTGTCAGAATGACCCATATCAAAAAACCAGAAACAGTAACTGATGGTGAAGTTATGAAGAAAAAGGAACCCTCATATACTGTTGGTAGGAAGGTAGACTGAGCCAACCTCTATAGAAAACAGAATGGAGATTTTCAAAATATTAAAAAGATATATGATCCAGCAATTCTACTCTTAGATAGCTATCTGAAGAATACAAAAAAAGAATATACTGATTAGAAAGATATATGCATTCCTATATTCATTGTGACACTATTTACTATAGCTAAGGTATGGAAACAACCTAAGTGCCCAATAACAGATGAGTGGATTAAGATGTGGTATGGATACACAATGGACTATTACTAAGCTATAAATTTGCAACAAGATGAACAGAACTGGAGGGGATTATGGTAAATGAAATCAGTCAGAAGGAGAAAGAAAAATACTGGACGATCTCACTCATACGTGAAATATAAAGAAACAAAGGAACAGACAAAACTAAAAACAAACCTAGAAATATAACTGTAGAATTGAGGTTACCAGAGGATAACCGAGAGATGAGGAGCAATGAGGGAAAGGGTATTGAATGGATTCTGGTGGAGGATTATTGGTACTTTGGTTGTGGACATAATATAGTAGCATACATCTGAAAAGGAATGAACCTATACCCCAAAATCACATACATTTTTGAAAACTAACATTGACAACAACAAAAAAAAAAAAATTAAAAGAAAGAGCCAAGTATCTGAAGGCAATATACATTTCTCCAAGGAAGATATACATAAGACCAATAAACACATGAAAAAAATGCTTAAAGTTATTAGTCATCAGGGAAATGAAATTAAAATCACAGTCAAATACTGTTTGATACCTACTGGAATGTTTAATAATCACAAAGTTACCTTTTAGTATATGGCTGGTGGGGAGTGGAGGCCAGGGATGGAAAAGGTATCAGGAAGACCTCAGGAACACTGCAAGAGAACAAGGTGGTGGGGTGCTGCCTGCCCACCTTCAAATGCCACACAGCACCCCTCTACTCATGTCATTAAATTCCACTTTTTGTACTTTGTGTCTCAATTGAAGAAGATGAAGTCTTTTGCGGGAAATTGTCTACCATGGGCAGGTGTTCAAGAAATACCCTTTTGAGTGAAGAACTTTGGTATCTGGCTGAGCCATAACTTCTTTAGTGACACCATAATACTTACCAGGAGTAACTGGACTTGACCACTGCAGGTACTGTCACCCAGGCTTTCAATTAGTGAATTTTATGGTATGTGAATTATATCTCAATAAAACTGCTGCAAAAGAAGAAAGAAGGAAAAGGGGAAAAGAAGCAACTGTCATGAACTTACTGTTAGAAAACCCAAGCTATTTTTCAAATGAAACTCTATGAAATTAGAATAAACTTAAGGATATGAAAATGAAGTGAAAATGATCAAATAAAATTCCACCTCAACCACTAATCCAATCTCAAAGTCTCATGAACCAAGATGGGACATTTTAATGACTGGGCCTTATATAAATGAGATTTTATTTTCTCAAGCAGGACTTTGAGGGGAAAAAACCAGAATTTTGATCTTCCATATACTTCCTTGAAAATTGGAAGCCTCAAAGTGAAGTGGGTGTTAAGTGGTAGGCTAGAAGACAGCATTTGTCACAGTGTTCAATCTCTGGAGTTTAAAATTGATAATTTTTTTTTTTCTCCATGAAGGTTGAGTAATCTTCTGGAATTTGATTAGGAAATCAGTGAACCTTGCGGTTGAGATCAAAGGACCAAATTTTAACTTTCACATCAGGTATAAAAAGGCAAAGATGGGCCTCCCCAGTGGCGCAGCGTTTGAGCCCTGGGCTGCGAAGCTGCCCGCAGCCTCTGCAACACCAGTTTGATCCCCGGCCGCCAGTGAGGGTCCCACAAGGCATGCAGACCTCTCCTGCCATGCCCGCTGCTCCCCTCAGCAATGTACTTCGTCAGTCTGCCTGCTCTGCTCCCCGCTCTGCTCTGGTGAATTCTCTCATCCTCCCGTGCTTCTGACTGTACCCAGTGCTTGTATAAATAAAGAAATAAATCTTTTAAAAAAAAAAGGCAAAGATTAAATATACTTCAGGCTGTTTACAGTATCTAGATAATTAACCCAAAATGTGTATCTCAGCCAGCGTTTTCAAACTTTGCTGTTTGGAGGGTGCCTTGTGGAGGGGTCTTGGCTATATGTTCAGGTTCTCTGTTACTCCTTCAACCAAAGAAGCTCCACCTCATCTGTCTTAAATATGAAGTTTCTGCTTAAACAACAGCTCTCATGGCTAAAACAAATATTAAACCTATGGATCAAGACCATTTTAATATACAGAAATATGTCGACTTTTCCTAGCCTCACAGTTTTGGCAAACAAACAAAAAAATGAGTTGCATTAAGGTTCCAATTTCACCAACATAAGACACTGCAATAGCTCACAGAAGATCTGTTTCTTCATAGGCTCCTCCTATCCCAATATTTCTGAGGCTTTTGGAGACATGTTGCATATGTTCAAGAACAAATCACTTTTTTCTTTCAATTAGCACCAACTCTGTGCCTTTTTTCTTTTGGTCAAACACTTCTGTTTTCACCTCTCTGGAAGAGAATACCTTTCCTGTCGCTTTTGACCAGCTGCTGATTAAAAAAAGAAAAGAAAAGAAAAGAAACAAAAACCACCTTAACACCTTGTTGGAGGAAATGATTCTCACTAATCATTCCCACACAAACATATATTAAGATTTTCAGACCCCATTGCTGCGTAGGGGGTCAAGACGCAACCTATGAAGCTAACCTCAGCCACTGCAGCACGAGTTTGATCCCCGGCCAGGGAGCTGACCCACATGGCGCAGCAGACCTCTCCTGATTCGCCTGCTGCTCCCCTCAGCAGTGTATTTCGGCAGTCTGCCTGTTCTGTTCCTGCTCTGTCTCTGGTGAATCCTCTCACCACCGGCACCTCTGTCTTGTACCCCTGTTCTTGTGTGCATAAATAAATAAATCCTTTAAAAAAAAAGATTTTCAGACAGCTTTAAAAAAATCTGTACTGGTATAGGTCAGAGATAAAGTTAGATATTTCATCATGTAGCTTTAGATTGTAGGGTTTCAGAGATTAATGGAATGAACTTTACCTGTTTGCGGAATAAACAGGCTTTTGAAAATCTGTCAAAATGAGCCATTGCTGGTTTCATGTGGCATCTAACTAGTAGTTTCTAACTTCACCTCACCAACTACCCAGTGAAATATCCATCAAGACTCCAAGAACAATGAACCCTTAGACAGACAGCCCATCTGTTACCATAACATGTATGGCAGGTGCACTATCTTATTAAAGGGGTTCTATATTTGTAGACTTTACACCAGATTTGGCCAAATCAAAACTACATCTTTCCTATCCTGGCTCCAGGACCTGAGTTTCCCCAGGCCATAACTTTGGCAAGTATTCCTCTGCCTTACCCATTTTGGGAGAGCCATTGTCTTAGAGTAAACTAATCTTTTCAGATCAACCTAAGTTGAAAAGATTGGAAATTTAGTATTTTATACCTATATTTATATTTTTGGAAACTTTGCTTCCGAACCCTTTTGACCAATACTGTGATGAAAATTATCTTGCATTTAAGTTAATGATAGGAAGAATTCTGTTGTTTCCTGGTACATGTTCAGTACCCAAAAGAGTGCCTGGCATAGAGCAGACAAGTAAACATGCAACTAAAAGTTCGCTTGAATGTATATAGTTAGTTTTTAAAAATCAATAGGACCACAGCCATTAGTTGGCTTCTGATCATACAGTTTAATTTTTGCAGAGAATTTTGAGACAGAATTCTTTGGTAATTGTTAAATAATATCATTAGAATTTTATCATGAAATTCAACAAGAGCTTCAAGAAACAACAGCAGAAACTTTTTGGAAGAAGGAAAAATCATTTTCAGAGCAAAGAAAATCAAATAGTCTTTGTTAATCGTGACCTCCAAGGAACCAGCCCCACATATTCTTGGCCTAATGTGAGCAAGTGCTAACCAGCTGGCTCATTTACCAAAGCATAACTGGGTTCCTTGTCAATATCATTGATGCTCCAAGAAAGAAGACATAATTAATTCTTAAAGCCATGCATTAATTTAAAGCACTTGAGAAAATTCAATTTGTAAAAAATAAAGAATTAAATGGGAACAAAAGAAATTCGGTGTTTAATGTCAAACAAGAAAGGTTAGAGACTAAAAATTTGTGAACAAAATGAAGTGTGTGGAAACACTGGAGCTGAAACAAATTAGGAAGTGGAAGCCCACATTGAGGCATGGTGAGTGTGCACCCTCCACCTGTGAATGGGGCTTTGCACTCAGCAAATTTGCTACTGCCTACTACTTTCTATCCAGACAAAGTGGAGAATGCTCACCAAACTCCTACATTTTAGGAAGGGGTATTATAAAATGATGAGTAATTGTAAGAATGTGATAGCCATCGAAACGGGAGGTTCCAGTTTCCCTGCTTCAACCAACGAAGGGTGGAACTGAGTAGGAAGGAAGACAAAAAAGACTTAGAGAAGACTTGTGGAGACACGTGGAACAGAGAGATGTCAAGAAGAAGCTGCATTTGCTTCTGAACCTGGACTTGTGGGTCATGGAAGGAGATACTTGAAAGAAATAGATAGGAAACCCGAAGGGTGGCTGAAAATGGCAGCCTTCATCTTGACTTGGATTTTGATTTTGCTCTTTTCCTTCCAAATTTGCCTGGCCCTTTCTGCCCTTTTCTGTGGTTCCCTGCCAGAAGGTGCCTTAGACTTGTGGCAATCTTTCAGGCCTCAGTGGCCCTGCTTTGGGCCAACCCTGTTTGGCTGGGCATTTATCCACCAGGAGATTGATAACTTAGGGTATTTCATTGAAAACTATTTTAACTATTTCCCTTCCCTTCCCTTTTCTTATTGTACACTAATTGTATTAAAGTTCCTTTCTATTGCAGGTCTTACACACTAAGCATATGCTTTACCTTTATGTAGCAGATGGCAGGAGCCATTTAGAGCAAGCAGGTTTGGGGGTCCTGGGATGCTTCTTATATTGCCTGCTAACAGATTGAGTGGAGATTTCAGTGTACATGGAGTTAAAGGTAGCTCTGAAAGTTACTTTATCTGTCCCTTTTCTCCCTTCATTCAACTTCTGCGATTGCAGGACCTAAATTACTTTCTTCTTTTTTGTCCTCAGTCTGAAAGGGAAGCATGAGGTAGTAGACTAAGATATTTTTAATTTGGTCATTTAAGGGTGCTTTAAAACATAGGTTTTATTATTATTTAAGTATGGCAAATCCAAAAGTTCAGGAAACAACTGCCACTAAAAAAATAGTTATACCTACATATCCCAAGGGGAAGAGGCACTCAATGCTGGGTAGTGGGGTGACTCTGGGGAATGCCCTAGGCCAGACAAGAGGCAGAGGGAGAGCAGAAAACTGTGAGCAAGAGATTTGATTGTGATTTCTGTGAGAAGGAACCAGCCAGGAAGAGTACACAGACTTAGGATTGGTAAGTTTAAATAATTTTAGTGGGTTTTGCAGGAAGGGCTCTGTTTTTGGGTGTCTGATACCTGGCTCTGGGGTGACTATAGCAAATTGATAGTGGCCCAGCTTGTGAAAGTCAGATAAAGGGGTAGAATGGGACAAGATCTCTGGATTGCTTGATTTACATTTGAAAGTTGTGTTCAATGGCCAGTTGTTTATTATCAGTATTTCTAGGAATTGACTAATTCTGGGGGTGGGGGGGTTAGAGGATTCCCTATATGGCCCATGGCATTAGATATCAAAGCATTAAAATACAGAACACAGGGGAGTCCTGGGACAAGGGGTTAAGACACAACCTTTGAAGCAATTTGCCGCTGCAGTATGAGTTCAATCCCCAGTTGGGGAGATACCCACATGGTGCAGCAGACCTCTTCTGAGCCCGCTTCTCCCCTCAGCAGTGTATTTCAGTCAATCTGCCTGTTCTGTTCCCCACTCTGTCTCTGGTGAATCCTCTCACCCCTCCCATACCTCTGGCCTGTACCCCAGTTCTTGCATGCATAAATCAATAAATCTTTTTTAAAAATACAGAAAACAAAAGATGGTCAATGCAAAAGATACTTATAAATTCAATTTATCAGATTAGTAAACCAAGCATTTAATTTGATGACTTCCATTACAATGTGGAGCTTCACTTATTAGATCAAGTGACCCATAAATTCCAAAACATTAAAACAGGGTTCCAAATTGAATGTGAGCAAACTGCTTCTATTGCTTGGAAACCATCCTCATCCTTGCTGTGGGATTTGTCCCCTC